TGAGATTGATCGTACTTTAGTATTGGAAGGGGAAGAGTGTTTGATAAATATCGAAATTTTGTGGCTACTTTACTCAGTGTCTTTTGGCTGATTAAGATGGTTTATAGATGATAGGGTCCCAAAGGAACCTAGTAAGTTATTTTGTTTTGTATATAGAAACGAGATAAATAATCTGCTTATATTGCTTTTGCAATTTGAGGATTAATAAGAAGTTAGTGAAAACATTTTTTGCTTAACACTAGGTATAGTATTTTTTGTTATAGTTGCGATCTTAGCCTTGAAGTAAGAGCAATCCCAATGATTCTTTATCAAATCTTCAGACTCAACTTAATAGACCTATCTGTGTCATCTATCATAATATACTTTTCTAGGCTTTACTTCAGTAATCTTCACCAATTTTCAGCATTTGAAACAGATAGTCATCTGACTTTTATGAATACTAGGTCTACAATATCCAAAGTAGTCTTTATATAACTAACCATTAATACAGTATGTTTTGGATTCTACTTGCCCGAATGAAGCGAAAAGGCTATATATATGATATAACTTAGAAAGTAATTCTTGCAGAGAACCTCTTACATAATTAGCCCATTACTGAGGTGTTTCATAGGGTCTAATGATAGACAAATAATCATATTATTTTTTTATTTCAACTACTTTTTAAACTGTTCGTTTATATGACCATGATAATAGTTAACAACATGTTTCATATCATATCCAGGACGAAGATTAATAGGTTTAGGTACAGCTTTAGTTATAAATATTATTTAAAATGATCTTAACCATTAATCTGAACATATTTGATGATTATATTTGATTATGCGCAATAAATAAGACCTCTAGTATTTTTTAGCGAATATTTATCATTATAGCAGTTTGTAATAAATATATTATAATAAAATATTGAATTCATTTTTATTTGATTACAAACATATTCACATGCATCTAAATCAGTTTGGATCAATCTTCCGATGTCATAATTTGGTTAAATTAGATCTGAGATAATATAACGGCTTAATTATTCTCAGATTCATTAATCAGAGATGTATGACATATATCATATCATAGAAATCACCCTAGCTTCCTGACAGTTTTACGACACTCTTCAGAAACTATCATAATGCTGAGATGTTCCATTTTTATAAGAAAAAAAACGCAAATTATCTGAATCTTCTGATTGTTACCATTGGTAACAGTTTTTCTAAAATCTTCCATTGGTAATGGTTTTTCTGAAATGTGTGTTTTGGGATTAGACCTTCTCATAACTCAAATCACAAGACAGTTTTATTTATTTGATAAGCAAGTTCGGACTAGTCTGTAATACATGATTGTACAATGCAATACATTTTTATTTTTCCATCAAGTCCTACAATAAAGTAATGTCACATCACTTGCATATAGCATACATTGGTTATTTTTACTGTGGAATGATAACCACACATATCTAGAAAATATTAAAATGGAAAAACTTTGGCAAGTGTGAACAAACGATCACACATGAGTAAATTTAGCTTATTTGAAATCTGAAAAAACTTCGGTAGCTGTGAACATATGTTCACACTTGAGTAAAATTTGGCACAGTGACCAGCAACGATCGAAATTTACTATTTATTTCAATACACTATATACACTCATCACCTGCGTATATGTAAAAATAAATACCCAAACTATGGGCGAAACTTTATTGATATTTATGTATGCGGAATACAAATACAAAAAACTTCATAAGATGATCATAATGTCATATGACTTGCAACGCAATAAATCCAAAGTTGTTAAAATATTACTCATGTAATCTGACCGTAAACATAAAACATAATCTATATTATCCTGAAAAATACTAGTTTATATTACCGCTGAATTCATTTGATCCTAACTCACTGAATAAATCATAAATTTTCTGGGCCCTTTTTTTCAAAGAAAAACTATTGTCTTTGCATATAATTTTATTATTTTGATGAATCAACTGTTCTTATGTAATAAATAAGATATGATAAGTTACATAAAAATTACTTATTTTTACTATCACATAATATCCAATGACATAAAATTGCAAATATATCTGATTACAAAAAAAATTCATACAGAATCTGAAGCACAGCCTCTTCCTCAATCTCTTCCTTGGCCTCTTTCTCTTCCCTTTCCTTTCTATTGACTATTAAATGTCACTTCATTTGATACTTTCAGTAAGAATTGTGCAAATGTCACAACTCTAGGCCGCCCTGGTGTAAGACCAGTGGCATACTTAGTTCTGGGTGTTATAATACGTTTCTGTTCCTGCTTTTAAAATTTTTTGAATAATTCAATTTTCTTAACAACATTGTATCTCAAATATAGAAGTGTCCGGATGAGTCTTAGTGTATGTTTCAGGTTAGCAGGTGAAGTTGGGATTATAAGGTTCAGAGCTGTAAATGGAAAATATAGGTATAAACTGGGACCAATATAAACCATTTGATCGATCTTAAGATTATCACCTATAATAAATAGTTATTTTAAATGTTTAGATAAATATTTCACATTTCAAACTATTCTGAGAATAGCTTACCAAATCCCTAAGCCAGAAAAATTCCCAAAGATTGACATACATCCTATGTTGGCAAACTTGTTCTTGTCATAAACTTGTTGAGAGCAAAGACACCTTCCTTCATTAATTTTTGTCTGTCTGTGTTACATTTATCAGGATCCAGATTATTAGAATCTCCGGAGACTTCAAGTAAAAATATTGGGATTTGGTTTAGCCATTTGAAGAATTCTGTGACTCTATCTGCTTTATAATCAGTGTCTTGCAAATCCGACTTTATAGATATGGTTCGTTCACACAAGAAGTATTGTATAAAATCCAGGAAATTAAAAGTAATGAAAAAAAAGTAGGCTAAAACATGTGCTGTCCAAGATCGTTCTGAAGTATTTTCTAAAATTCCTTCTAATTTAATAATACTGTCTATATGACTTGAAATACTTTTAATAATATGTATATCTGGATATTGAGATTGATCGTACTTTAGTATTGGAAGGGGAAGAGTGTTTGATAAATATCGAAATTTTGTGGCTACTTTACTCAGATCATGTATTGTTTTTTCCAATTCACAAATAACTTTGTCTTTCTTAATATCGTTATTCTCAAGATTAATCAAATCTGTTTTAGTAGCTTCTTCCTCTAATGGATATTCTATAATTTGATCAAACAACATCAAATATTCATACGCTTTTGTACTTATATGATCATTCTCGTCATCTAAAGTCAATCTTTCAGACAATGATGTTGATTCATCAATACTTAAAAGATCATGTGTCTTATTTAACATCTCATTATTCCCAAATTGATCACATAATAATTCGCTTCAGGATCATTGACATGCCATAAAGATTTAAGTTTGTCATAATATGTAGGGAAGGTGACCTTGCTAAAGGTATTGGATGCTTTTGCCACCGAATTTAACAGATTTTCCTGAAAGATATTTTCTTTAGCTGACTCTTCTTGCTGAATACGCGAACGTTTTTTTGACAGCAAAGCGTCTGTATCTAACTTTGGAATTTCTTGATCCTCGTAAAGATTTGAAATTTCTAAAACGATTTTATTTATATTATGGTTAGCACTTACGTCCAATATTTTTAGGCTACCAGATATGTGATTATTGATTACAGATTTCTGTTTATCATAATATAATAAATGAAACAATAAATATACCAGTAATAGAACAAGCAAAAATGTAATTAATCTTGACTTACCTGTCCTTTTCCAATGATAATATTTTACCAATAATCCATTAAAGACTTATTTGAAGTTTCTGATTTCACCTATTATGGGAAAAAATAATTAATTAATAAAAATGCTTTCATGAATATCAATCATAGCGAAGCTCATGAAAACGCAATAATAGTGCCTAACCGACCACTAAATACTCCAAAGTCAACTGACCACTGATCAGGAATGCAACTACCATTACTTGGGCCAGCCGACCACTGAATACCCTTGATCAACCAACTACTGACCAAGAACTCCCTTTTATTTATTTATATGTTTAATGAAAAAAGAATACAGAACCTTTGCATATATATCATTGTATTTTTCGGAAATAATCTCTTCTATTCTTCTTAAGAATCTTGTTTCTCATGCTGTTTCCAAACTATTCCAGTTATCAGTATTTGGTGGAGATTCTATAATCATTTCTTGGTAAAGATCTACGAACTCATGAAATAAATAATTCTTATTACGATTTCTTATGTAAGAGGAAATGGCTAAAGAGATGGTTGGTTAATAAGTGGCAAAAAGAGAATATTGGGATCACTATGCAATTAGAACTTACACGTATAACTGCGATAATATTCTTCAGACATTTTGAAAAATCAAAAATCAAAAAAGCTAGCTTAAATTTTTTTTACTGATATCGATATCAATTAATCACTTAAAAAAAATAGGGTATACTATATTGATATATGAGAATCAATTGTCGCACAAGTATGTCAGAGATCAAGTCACATGATATTAATCTTTGAATATGCGCATGACAAATTATTACGCTGATCACTTTTGCCAAGAAAAATTTTCAATAGGCGAAACTTTATTAATAATTTTTAGATGATGAAATATATGATGCTATCAAAGAGGGAGGAAGTACGCAGATCTTAAGCCATTTAATGCGAGTCTTAGCATCAAGTTATTTCTTTGCTCTCTCATATTTACGAAAAATATCTATAACTAATTTGTTTCTATTGTTAACATTTCTAATATTCTTCTCCCTATACTCTTTTTCTATACTAGATTTTCGAAATAAATTTTCTCACACATATCTACATAATTTTCATCTATCTTCACTTCCACCCATATAAATTATATAGAAAGATAAGTGAATTTCCCAGAAATGAAATAATTTCAAAACTATATAAAGAATCTTGAAGATTAGCAATGAGATAAAAAAAAATGAGGTATCTGATTTCACAATTACGCGTACACTTCATTTTTATAATATTCTGCACCGCCTCATATTTATAGCTTAATATATTGTAATAAAGAAATTTTGATTTTTTTATCATCAGTTCGATACTGCGCCAAACGTTAATAATTTGACACCTATTACTGAAAAATTTTATTTGATATACTGCGCACTGTATCTCAGCATATGGCGAAAATTTGGAGACAGAAATTAATACTGCATTGATTAACATATGACAATGGTTACGATTTTCTCAGTGAATATCAAATGTGCGGAAAGAAATAAGAAAGGTAATATGTCTGCTTTATCTTTGAGCATCTATAGAGCCAGAAAAAAATAATTAACATTGTGATAACGATTTTCTAAAATCAAGTCAAGAAATCAAACAAACTAACTTTGTTATTACTTTACAGAATATATTCGTTTGATTGATTGTTGATATTGGTTGATGTAATAGTGGTAAATTTGAAATTTCTTTTGATTTCTTTTTGCTTTACTTGCACAAGACAGATAAAAGGATTCATTAAATAAGGCCTCACCTTTTTATATAATTGTAGTGGGTTTAAGGATCGATTTTGGAATAAATCTTGGGAAAAATTACGTTATTATGATTCATCACGAAAATCAGATCAATGGATACTCCTTAAAATTATAATAAACATTGGGATCATGTCTCTGGATCAACGAGGGGTCTTTCTAATTATTAATACATGCAAAAGCTTGAGTATATGCGAGAAACTTCAAGAATAAATTATATGATACAATGACTTATTCCCGTAATACATGGTAATCTATCCTAATGATATTGCGCATTTATCAAAATTTTTCAGGTCTGAATCTAGATGAAAAACTGATCAAAAAATATTAGCATACAAACACTTCTCAACACATACTAGATATTGACATATAAATATATTGTGTTTAATGTGTCTTACTTAGCTTTATTGATTGTAAATAAAAAAATACATATTTTTGTTCATACTGCGGAATAATATCTTTACTATTGATCTGCTATTTGCTATGATGCAACAATGCTATCATGTGACTACGATTGTGAACTTGAGTTTATTGCTTAAAGTGTTGCAGGTAAGACAATATTCCAACTTATTTTGGGAATACAATTTTGCTAATTCAGGATCATAAGGGAGCTAATTCCCATTTTCACAGTATCATGAGCCATATAATCCATAATTCCCATGTTTTCCATTACAAATAGGGCATGGTGAGCTCCATGGCTGAGGTGATATAAAATCATAATTGTCAATCCCTCTGAAACTATTTCTGAATTTCAAGTATGAAAAGTGCTCTAAGACAGATTTGATAATTAATTCTGAATTGGGTTTGGCTTTGAAGGTGATAGGCTTGATATCAGAGGCTTGAGGTTCTGCTAACATATTTATCACAGCTTTTGGTAATTGTCAGGGCTCATTTCCAGTTTCTTTCTTATATGTTTTATATAATTTGTAGCAAATTTTGTCTGTCAAAACGCTTGGTAACCCACTTAATTTGGTATGCCAATCTAGATATTTGGGGTTAATACTTTATCAGACTTGATCATATTGTCTTTTTATATATGATTAAAAATCAATTTAAATTATATTAAGTATAGTCGACATATATTAGCCCTGTAAAAAAATAGTTTCTCAAAAGAAATGCAAATATACAGTATTGTAAAATAATGAAACTATGCAGTTATCTCAATTTCACACTATTCACACTTAATAAAATAGAATCCAGTTTTATATCTACCTTTTATACTTTCCTTATCATCATGACCTAACTTGCATAATAGGCATAATGTCTTATCAGTAATACCATAATAATCAAAGTTTTCACTACTATATTCTCTATATAAGTTAGAATATTAGTCCAGTGTCTTATTGCAAAAATAGGATCGGTCATAAATTAGATTAATTCTAAGAATTGATGCAAGTGATACACTTGCTTGAGGTGTGACTGATGTAAGATCGTTACCAATAGTATCAGTTTTTGAGGACATATGACTCTGATCGTTATCAATAGTAACGGTTTTATGAACCTGATCATTCACATAATCTATAATATTTTGAATTTGGGTATTGGTTAATCTAGAAATATCACTTGCGTTAAAAGTGACTAATTTAATTCTATCTATCCCAACCCCTTTTTTTCCAAACAGCATAAGAATATTTTTAGCTCTATGTGTTCAGATTCGCAAATTACCCAGAGTAACATTAGGTAAATACTGTAACATATCTTTGTATATCATCGACCTTGCTGTCTTATCTTTAGTCTTGCCATCAACTGTAATATTTTTTACTTTTTCTTCGAACTTGAGGGAATAATGATACAAGTATAAGATTTCTTTTAAACCTATTCTCATAGCCTTATCAATCCAATAAGCTAATCTCTGTATAGAGCCCTCAATTGTGTTGTTTAAGATAGACTCATCATGTAGTTTAACTTATGCCACTGAAGAAATAGGCCTAGAAAGTTCATGCTTCAAAGTTTACTCAGTGACTTGATTTCTATCAAGTAGTTGTATAGCAATTGGCCTAGAAATTTCATCAGATGGAGCATTCTCATTATCAGTACAAGTGATCATTTTTGTGTTGCATGATAAGTTATCCTCAATGGATGATGAGGCAGAGATATTATCACCTATTTTAAGTGATAATTTCAAATCTTAATCGTTACCATTGGTAATAGTTTTTTTATCACGTGATAATTTCAAATAGACTTGATTTTTAGCTGACTCATATAGAAATTTCTTCTCCTTATTGTATTGCTTTATTTCACTACTAACGATTTTCTTATGAATCTCAAGTAAGAAACTATTCATATCTTTCTCTTCCAATGATTTGCTGTTAAGGCGCTTCATAGAGTTGGTAGGTACTGTTATCGCCTCTGATACTGCAACTGAATTGAAGCTAGGTGAACTATTATTAGAAGAATTATCATTTGCCATTAAGGTGCTTTGCAGAATCTGCTTCTATTCTACTTTCATGATTCTATATCCTAACTCAGATTCCATCTCTTCGATTCTAGCCCTGAGTTTGGCATTTTCAGCATCATGCCTCTTGTTATATTCCTTATTCGCTCTTAGAAATTCAGCATTCCTATGCTTAAGTTTAGCTATTTTAGAATCAAACACTAAGAGCTTGATTCTAAGATCAGAGATCTCAGTATTCTTCTTCCTAAGCTTTGCATTCTCAGCCTCAAGTTTGTTGTTCTTAGCTTTAAGTTCAGTGATATGCTATTTCAATAATTCAAGTTCTGATGACATGATCTATATATAACTAATATACTGCATATGAGTATTCAAAATAAAGAAATCACATGCATTAAAATTTGTAACACTGATCACTTTTGCTAAGAAAATTTTTTATTAATACATGCAAAAATAAATACAAAGCTCAGAACTATGCTTGCGATACATTATATCTATTTTAATATACTTGATTAATTTTTGAATGATAGATGCACATGATCCCTTCTTTGGATTAAATGGTAAATCAAGATCAGTAGCTGCCGAAGGCGCATTGCTAGTAGCTATACATATTGATAATATCAGATATTTTATTATTTTCTGTAGACTCTGATTTCAGATCTGAGTTGTGCTCATCTTCAGGGTCAGAATTTTCTGATTCTGTATCACCTATAGTATAATTATCACTTACATCAAGGTGGTCAGATTCTTGTCTTAATGCGATTCTCAAAAGCAGTTTAAGATGCTAGGGAGTTGGATTCTTACCACCATGAATTCTAGAAGCGTGTTTATTTCCATAATCTCTTAATTTTTTAGGTATAGTTCTATAAAGCTCTTGCTTTAAGAATTCATTAAATAGCAAAGTATTACATGTTTTACTTTTAGTAAAGACAAGGTTAGATAACTTTTTAGCCTTAATTGCATCTTGAATCCAGGTAAGCAATTCTTTTGCACATTCTGGATTCTTTTCCATAGAAAGAAATAGTCGAGGATCAAGATTTTTCTTCTTTTCTCCTCTGTTCTTTAAATAGCCAGTACAGTACCAAGAATAGCCCTCTTTATATCATGATAGAATGTTCAAAAAGTCTGGTTTATAGATATTGATCTGAAGAGAACTTACTTCTGCAGATCTCATACTCAACATCACTATCACATCTGCGAGATTCTCTCTAGTAGGAATTTTGGAAATATCTATGTTCTGAATCCTTTTACTCACATTTGCTAAGGAGAAATGTATGGGAATTCTGTCTGGATTAGCCATTCGCTTTTTAGTTCATTCTTTCTGAATTTTATTAGAATTTAGGATAAGATTCTTGTCTTTGGCAAATTCTTCAATAATTGCAGGACTTACACCACCTTCTGCTAACTTTACACAGAATGTTGACTGACGCGAGACATTGGCAACGATTTCTTTTTCATCTTTATTTTTCAGATTC